CCGCTCCGCGGCATGTGGGATCCTCCCGGACCGGGGCACGAACCCGTGTCCCCTGAATCGGCAGGTGGACTCTCAACCACTGCGCCACCAGGGAAGCCCCTGGGGATCTTTTCTGATTGTCAAACCTAGTAGGATGCTATTGACATCTAGTGAGGGGAGGCCAGTGGTGCTGTTCAACACCCTACAACGGACAAGACAACTTCTCAAAACAAAGATTTATCCAGCCCAAAATGTCAGTAGTGCTGAGGTTGTTAAAAACTTCTCTAAAGTAAAAGAACTCCTCAGTAAAGAGAAGTTTTCCATAGCAACTTGAATTATTCAGTAGTACTTCAAAGAAGGTAGCTCTATAAATGTTACCAACTAAACAGCATATAGATTTTTTTTTGTTAACATCTTTACTGGAGTATAATTGCTTTACAGTGTTGTGTTAGTTTCTGCCGTATCACAAAGTGAATCAGCTATACATATACATATACCCCCATATCCCCTCCCTCTTGTGTCTCCCTCCCACCCTCCCTACCCCACCCCCCTAGGTGGTCACAAAGCACCGAGCTGATCTCCCTGTGCTATGTAGCTGCTTCCTACTAGCTATCTATTTTACATTTGGTAGTATATATATGTCAGTGCTACTCTCTCACTTCGTCCCAGCTTACCCTTCCCCCTCCCCATGTCCTCAAGTCCATTCTCTACATCTGCGTCTTTATTCTTATCCTGACCCTAGGTTCTTCAGAACCATTTTTTTTTTTTAGATTCCATATGTATGTGTTAGCATACAGTATTTGTTTTTCTCTTTCAGACTTACTTCACTCTGTATGACAGACTCTGTGTCCATCCACCTCACGACAGATAGTTCAATTTCGTTTCTTTTTATGGTTGAGTAATATTCCATTGTATATATGTGCCACATCTTTATCCATTCATCTGTCAGTGGACACTTAGGTTGCTTCCACAGCATATAGATTCTTAAGTGAAAACCGAGGTTACCATTTCTAAATATGTAATTACAAATTGTTAATATGGCATGTGTGCATTTTTCCATTTAGGAAAGTGAAAACTTTATTCCATTGTTTTGCTTCAAGGAGTCTGTATATTTGGTTGGTTTGTTCAGGTGTTTTGCACAGCTGTCATTAGGAGTGGTTAACATGGGGATTCTGAACATATTTTTGCTGGAGAGGTGAAAATGATGGAGTATGAAGAACAGGTGTATTCCCTTTTCATTGCCCATATGCTTACTTTCTGAGTCTGAAATTCCAGATGTACTGGCTATAACTATTACGTTTGTTGTTAATTTTAAGAAATAGACTGATGTCTCATAGCCTAAGGAGTTAGTGAAGCCTCTGAATGCACCAAAATGTCAAAGCTGTATTTCTCAAGACTTGCTCTGTGGAGCATTTATTCCTAAGAGATGCTCATGGGTATAAAAGGTTCCACGGACAAATAAATTGGGGACTTTGCAAACCTGCCTATTGGCATGTTAAAGTTTCTAAGAATTCCTTCTATTCCAGTTTGAATGTATCCTTATCTAAAGATGGAACCCTTTTTTTAATTAAATACTGACATCCCATTGAACGAACTTTTGAAAACACTACAGTAGAGAATGCCACGTAGCTTTCTGGATGGTGTTTTTCTCTATTGTTTTGGCATTGTAAACTATGTTAAATGTGAGCTCAGACAGCTGCCACTCCCACAGGTAAGTTAGAATACTTGGGACACTGGCTTGACAACCTTGGAAGTCAACTGTGTTGAGATAAAGTACTTAACTACAAATATTGTAAAGATTACTTTAAAATTATTGTATCTTTGGGGTTCAGATATTTGAAGTGTCTGGGTTCTTTAAATAGCTATAATAACTTCTTTCAAAGGGGTAAATCCTGGAATAAAAAATTGTATAATTTTTTAATGTGAATTTGAGACTGAATTGTAGAACTAATAAAGCTGAAGAGTTGCCATAGACCCTCTCGAATCTGTGAAAAGGAATGAAGTGATGTTGCAGGTGTAGATGCTGGCAGTGCAGCATACTGTCCACCTAAGCCAAGATTGTTTTCTAGAACGAGTGATCTATATTGTGTGATCATCATTTAGTTTAAGAAAGGCCAGAGCTGAGAGACCAGCAAATGTTTTCTCATCTGCAGTGTATCAGCAGTTCTTGGGCTTCAGCTGCTGAATAGATAATAATTCTAATTGAAGATAAATTACATGAACCCACATGTGAGTGATAGATATGTTATAACATTTCATTCCTGGTGCATAAAAATCAGCTGCAGTTTTTATTATTAGTCCTTTCTTTTCAGAGGTTTTGGAATTCCAGCTCTATTCCTGCTGGTTTCAATTTGACCTTGAGGTCGGAGAAGTCACAAGAATTTTTGAAGGGATGTTGTAGGTTCTGCATATTGAGGCTTTCCTTTGCCACCACCCCAGTGTCCTTTGACTTGCTGTCTCTCATCTCCACATATAAGTATAAAAGAGCATACAGTTATTTATTTTAGCCTGCTAGTAATGATTGGTAATCCTTATAATTGGCCTCAGTTTTTCTCGTACTGGGGCCGAGGGGCAACGGATGATATCTTTTCCAGTCAGTGACTAAGATGTCCTTTTCTGTCTTTATGATCCAACTGCCCTTATTAAGACTATCAGGTAGAATTTTGGAGTTTGGTTTTTAAAGTCATTGGGCTGTGGTAGTCTGCCCAGAAAAGAAAATTGAATAACATGAAATATTCTTTAGGTCACCGAACGTATTACTAATTATACACACAGCAGGGAAAGGTATTTTAAATCCAATTCTCAATTTGGCTCCTAAGTTCTCTGCTGACAAGTTCTCCCTCTGTGTGATACTAGCCTTAGGAACTCTGCGTTCAACTATAAATCTTTTTATTTAGCTTTTTGCATTAGTTGACGAGGTGTCCGAATATGAACTGTTGAATACAGTTATGTTCAGCCAATAGGCACTTGATATGCAGAATGATAACTTTTAAGTTTTTTCTAATATTTTGCCATAGCACATACCTCTATTGTGGTTCTGTTTCTCTAACCACTATAATAAGAACTGTAATTGAGGTCTGAGCTACGGGATATGCTTTTATTTTTAGACTATATGGCTATGATAACGTTTTAGGAAAATTAAAATTAAAACAAAGGTAATTTTTTTAACCAGCAATGTTACTTTAATATTGAATTAGTAGCTCATCATGAGTTAAATTCTTGTGTTCTTTCATAGAGGAAAATAGCCAACAATTGACGACAATGACAAACCCTGATGAGCCTCATTGATAATACACTCAGAGAAATTTTTTTGAATACATCCACATTTGGTGCATATGAAAGTTGGGTTTTCTTTCCCACTGTCTAAGATGTACTAATTTCTGCCAAGCCCTTAAATGGTTTTGTTATGTTTTGCATTCAGGAGGCTGACCTTATTTTGTAACTGAATTTGTATACACAGAAGTTTGATCATTTCAGAAGTTTGATACCCTCTGAATAATCTGATAAAAAAATTGAATATGCTGTTAACGTATAACTTAAAGAAATCCAGTGAACAGTTTTTTTCCTTGTCTGTCAAATTGTGTTGATTATTTGTCTCTTGTGGCTACTCAGTGTACAGGTCTAAGACTTACCCACTGCTTCCTTTTGTGCCTTCCTTTTTACTTGCATGCTCTTTGTTGGCCATTATGGTAACATACACATGTAAGATGATGAGTTCAAGGCTAATGAATATATCGTTATAATTTTCCACCTAATATTCTACAGTTCAATCTAAGACCTTAAGCAAAATCTGGAAATGTTTATATGGTCTTGTTTTTATCAAGTGGTATCAATGTGAACTTTTAGAGAAATGTGAGGAAAGGCTATGTTCTTCATATTTATACGTATAAATGTATAATTGTGGGGGATTTTAGCTATTAGAATTGAAGCTGGTGTCAGTCTGCTAACCTGCTAAAAGAAAAAGATGTTTCCAAAAATATTTTTGGTGTAGACTATGTATAAATAAAACTAAATTGTATAATTTATTACATGAAATAGATTTTTAATCATTGATAGTGCATTATATTATTTTACCTAATCACTGCTCCAGATACAATTCGAAAGTACAGATAACTAACATTAAATTACTTGCCCATTTTTTGATTCAGTCAACAGTATCGACTTGCCCAGAAATCAGCAAGAAAAGGCGTACTTTATAATGAGAATCATGAGTCACGGGGGTGGAGGCTAGATTATTTAAAAAAGAAAAAAAACCCAGCAACCATTTCCCAAAGGATCTATTGACCGTAGAAAGTTGGAGGCTTAGAAGTATTGAATCTTTTCTAAAGGAAACACCTTAATTAAAAATAAAATAGTGTCACTTCCTTCTTCAGCAAATTTCATTTTTAAATTGTACTATCTGAATTTTACATGTAGTTCTCATTTGATTTGGAATTAGATCTCTGCACTGGTACTCACTGACCATGTGAGTTCACATATTTAACCTCTCTGAACCTCAGTCTCACCATATGTGAAATGGGTACAATCCTATAGGATTGAGAGTTAAATGAGATAACAAGTAAAGTGATTAACTCAGTGCCTAAAACATAGCACTTGCCATTAATAACTGCTATGGTGGTCTGCATAAAGCTATAATGTACCAATTTGTACTAGATTTAAATTAAATTTCAAAAATTAAAATTTCTTCATTAGTTTATTAGTAGGATGTTTTATGAGAGGGAGTCATCATTGAATTTTGCTCATCTCCAGTGGAAATTAAAAAGTATGTACTTGATTTTAGATGACGATCTTTTTTTTTCTTTTTCCAGAATTTTTCTACTTTCATTTTTATGAGTTTCTTTTTGTTTACACCTGAGGGTTTTTTTTTTCTTTTTTTTTCGCGATACGCAGGCCTCTCACTGTTGTGGCCTCTCCCGTTGCGGAGCACGGGCTCCGGACGCACAGGCTCAGCGGCCATGGCTCACAGGCCCAGTTGCTCCGCGGCAAGTGGGATCTTCCTGGACCGGGGCACGAACCCGTGTCTCCTGCATCAGCAGGTGGACTCTCAACCACTGCGCCACCAGGTAAGCCCCCTGAGTATTCTTTTTAAGAAACATATTTAAAGTGCATTAACTATTTTATGTACCTGAAACTTCAGATCACAACCCAGCAAAAATGTACAGGGAAAGTTCATTCATTGTGACTTCCACATCAATTGTATTATCTGACCAAAGTTTTTGGTATAGTCAGCAGACCTGCAAGCACAGCAGTTTATTATATTTAGCCCTATTCTTAAATGACTTTATAGTAGAATGACTGATCGTGGCTCCCAAGTTTACATCTTTGTAAACTGAAGAAGAATCTGAAAAAGAATATATTATATAAAACTGAATCACTTTGTTGTATACCTGAAAGTAACACAACATTGTAAATCAACTATACTTCAATTTAAAAAACTGTAGCTGTGTTTATTGGCCTGATCTTCATTAAATTCTGTTAGGTCAGATGGAAAAAAGAAAATTGAGACTGGAACTGTATTCAGAGTTCTTGGTTTGAGTGGCTGTTTTCCTTGTGGCCCCTTCCCTCCCTCCTCTCCCCTTTGCTCCCGTCTTATTTGCCACTGTTGGATTCATTTCTTTGTCTTAAGTCTTTCTTTCTCCTGTTAAAATGTAGATACATCAGGAAATAGATAACTGCTATTTATCCTTATCAGTTAGTGACATCTTAGTTTGTGTGAGTTTATCAGATGTTTCACTAAGAGTGGGTTATTAAAGAAAACTTATTATAGAAAATTTCAAACATATACAAAAGTAGAGCAAACCATATAATGAGGCCCAGTATTCATCACTCATCTTTGGCACTTGTCAAGTCCAATTTCGTGTCCCCTCTACCACCCTCTTATTTGAAAGCAAATCTCAGGCGTTTCAAGGTGTAGCTCACATTTCAATATGGATCTTCTAAGTAAAGGACTCATTTTTTAAAAAGCCACAATACTATTATCACCCCCCCAATTAACATAATATCTTGATATCATCAAATATGCTATCATTGGTCATTTCTCTAATTACCGTTTTTTTTTTACATTTGAGTCATGATCCAAATAAGATCCCCTAAGGGTAGATTTTAGTGGAAAAGTGAGAAGAGGTGAGAAACAGATGGCTTGAGGAACCAGAGAAAATTAGACAAGTGCAGAAAGAAGAAGGTTTGAGATGGTGTTTTTCTAACGACTTTCCCATGGATTAATAATACTGGATTTATGAAGGATGTACTCCAAATGGGCTCCTAAAGATCTTCCAGGATGCTGGAGAAATTCCCATTTGACCTGCTCCAGGTTTCACTGGTTATCATAAGAAATGGACTTCAGTCCATAGTCGTGTATAACAATTCAATTTCAATGCTAACTTCCTTTACATAAGGCTGCGAATTAGAACCCCAAATTAGATTAAGCCTATAAGGCAGTGGGGGTAATCATTCTAGATATATAGAGGGAACCCTTATTCTAAGTAAATGTGTAGAAGGCTAGTTGAGTCATTGTGTTGGGCTCCAGCCAGCCAGGTTTAATGAGCAGTGGAAGGTTGAGTACCATCTCAAAACCAGTTTTCAGAGGAGAAGGCAGGCAGACAGGGCTCCCCCTCTGGGATGGATCAGAGGAGCTGAGTGTGATGCTCAATGAGAAGAATGTCTGATGTATCTCATGGACCACATTAGAGAGACAGGAACTTTTAGGAAGTACTTGGGGCTTTTGACCAGATAGAAAGCTGAGAGAGTGTTTTTTCCACATTCCCCCTTCCAAAAAATGTGTTCATAGGCAGTAAATTGGTCCTTTACACCATAAAGGCAGAAAGTACTTTTAGCTAGAAAGCTGTCAAAAAACAAAAACAAAAAGAGAACAGAACAAAAAACAAAAGCAAAACCTCTCCTTGAAGAAGTTAACCTGGAAATGAAATTCCCCCTTTTAAGCTTTCCCCAGTAAGAACATAGGTTCTGAGAATGGCTGACTACCCAAAGTCACACAGCTAATTAAGGTCAGAACTGAGGCAGGAGCCACCTACTGGCCTATGACAGGGCAGGGGCAGGTCTGAAGGAGGTGAAGAAACCCTTTGCAAGATAAAAAGTTGATCCAGAAAACATTGTCACAGCTTTTGGGTAAACTTTCTTTTTTTTCCCTTGTGAAATGCGTCAGTTTCTCTTTGTGCCTTCCATTTTCCATGCCTGCTCTCACCATGTTCAGTTTATGCCCTATTTGTCATCACCTGGTGACTCAAACCTTCTGGGGTGGAGGTGGTGGCAGGTGGGAGATAGGAGCCCTTTGCACAGTGACCCCTGCTAAGCTTTCTTGAAAGCCAGCAAAAATACTCATTAGTTTTAATCTACTAATTATAAGCAAATGGACATTTTAACCTTAGGAAATTCAGCATTTTTGTTTGCATTTATGATCATTGTCTATTTTCCATTTATTCCCATCTATTTGCAGCAAGTGCATTTTGGGGCCAAGTTGGTTTATGCTGTTCCCCAGGAAACAAAAAGAAAATCCACAACCAACCAAACTGCTTGTATAGCCATTCCCATGGAGCCCAGTGCTTCCTAGGCATGAAATTGACTGACACACAAAGGCAGCAGGTGCGGGGCCACATGCCACTTGCTGCTTTTTTTTTTAGTGTGTGTTTATAATCAGTAAATGGCTGTGGATGTTTAAATGGTTCCCTAATACGATGGAGAGCGGATGCCATTATAACTTGAACTTGTATTGCCACGCAGATGGTGGAAATAAACATCCAATTCTGCACACAGTTTTGTTTGCCTCTTACTTTGAAAAGATCGGCTGAGCATCAGGCATCCTCGGTGCCAGCAGGGACTCTTGGGCGGGTCGGGGTATAGGCGAGCAGGGCTGCCGTCGGGTTCCAGATTGGCTTTTGTGTTGAGAGCCCCGAGGACAGCAGGTTTCCTATAAGTGGCTGAGGGGGTTCATTGCAGCAGTGGACCCCACCCCTGAACTACCAGGTGGCAGCTCCAAATATCCCTTCCTACTCGAGACGTGCCTCACACCCTTAATCTTCTCTATTAGACAAAACTGTTCTATACCTCAGGAACTCTCGCTGTATCTTCCTCTCCACCTTTCACTTTCTTAGACACTTTGAAAAATGGAGTTGGTTCAGTAATGTGGTGATGGCACCAGCTTTAATTTCACCCTCCTGGCTTCCCCTGCTGGTCCCTCAAATTGCCTCCTTCCTGGGGGTCATCGATCTACGTACTATATTTTCCTCCCTCGGCACGTTGGAGGACCTTAGTAAATATCTGTTGGTCCAGTGATCAACTGACTTGTTCACACTACAGAAAAAGCCAGTAGGGTTTAACGGCAGCCTATTCCAGAAATATTTAAACAAGTGTTTTAAAGAGTTCGGAATAAAGATAGAAATGAATCTCTGTGATCTTTTGCAAATCAGTGAGCAGAAAGAACAGGGCGGATGTGGGGATAGGGCAGTCTTCCTAGCACCTTGAGATTCCCCGGGGAGGAAGCCCACTCCTTGGGAAGTGGGTCAAACTTGGGAAGGCTGGGTAAGCCACTTCTCTGGGGCAGAGACACTGGCCAAATAGGAATACGAATGCTTGAGGGATGATTCCTCTCTGCAGGGCCAAAGAAACTGCTAGATGAGCGAGGGGCACAGGGTTTACACCAAAGGCCATTTCTAGCAGGTTTGGTCTGTTTCATTAACGAATCATGCAAAAGCAAAGCAGAACTCCCCCTCCCCCAAACTGGCTTATTTTCCTCATGCCAACCTCCTTTCTTCCCATCAAATAATTTAGTAATCCTTCCCATTTCTATAGAGTGCTTTCCGGATTACAAAATGCTTTCACGTACACTATTTTGTTTTCATCTGCTGTCAGTCTCTGGAGCTGGGCAGGGCATAATGATGATGTGTATTTTGCATTTAAGCCCCAGAGAGGTTTGGTGATTTAGATGGCTTGTCTGGCTTCATTCCAAGGGGTAGGAGGGTCTAGAAACCCTGGCACTCAGGGCTCTGATGCTGGCCTTGGAGCTTTCTTGGAAACTTTGGAACAAGGATTAAGATCCTGTGCTTTGGAGGAGGGATAGGCAAACTTGTCCTGTAAAGAGCCAGGTAGTAAATATTTTAGGCTTCGTGAGCCACACGGCCTCTGTTGCAGCTACTCAAAATCTGCGGCAGACAATATGTAAATGAATGGGCATGGCTGTGTTCCATTAACACTTTATTTATGGACACTGAAATTTGAATTTCATATAATTTTAAGAGTTGTGAAATATTCGCCTTTTGATTTTTTTTTCAATCATTAAAAGTGTGAAAACTATTCTTAGCTCATGGGCCACACAAAAATAGGAGGCTGGTTCGGTTTTGCTCATGGGCCATGGTGGGCTGACCCTCTTTTAGAGCTGGTTCTGCCATTTATTAAGCATGTAATTTCGGGCAGATTACCTAGGTAAGCCTTAGAGCTCTCAATGACAAGATTGGAAAAGTCATAATGATTTCCACCTGCAGGGACTAGAGGATGAAATGCAATAATTGTAAAGTGTTTGGCAAATCACTTATACAGTTAGCCCTCAGTGGCTGGGAGGTGTCATAATTTGATGACGCTACATTCTAGGGAACCATTTGTCCTCCCAAAATATACTGATAGGGGATTCTACTCTCTCTCAAACAACCTCAGCCTTTTCCACACCTGGTCCTAATGAAAATTTGTGTATTAAAGGGAAATCCAGATATGTCCACAGGACAGAAATACTTTTTTTTTTTTTTAAGCCAAAGATAAACCTTTAAAGAATAATAACTCGTGGTGACAAGAAAGGCCCAAATGAAATGAAAACAGGCTGCGTGTTTGGCCTGCTGACAAAATCAGGATAAGGAGCTCCTGCTTTCCGGCCTTAGTTTCTTCATCTGTGAAATAGGGATAATAACCATGGTCTCTACCTCATAGGATGGAGGAGAAGATGAAATAGTTTAATAGGTGTCAAGGGCATAGCGCGGTGCTTAGCCCGGGGTCAGCACTCCTCCAGGGCAGGTGGACTTCATGTTCTGTGTCTCACTGGCGCCCCCCTCCAAGCTCAAGTTCTGAAGAGACCGATGTTGATGCTGATGGTGGTGGTGAGGTGGGGAGGGAATTGCCTATTAGCTGAATATGCACCTTTTATTCCTGAGCATTAAAGAAACTGAGATCTTTGGCAACCCTTTGCTCCAGGCACCTAGAGGATTCAGCCCCAGGACTAGGGTCATGGTTCTGCGGGGCCCCGGCATCACCACAGGAGGCTGGGAGGACAGCAGGAAGAAGATGTCTGTGAGCACAGAAAGCAGCTGAGGAGCTGAATCCAGGAAAAAATGCCGAGTCTGTCTGCTCAGCATGTGCCAACCTGGCCTAGATTTGCCCAGATCTGGCTCTCTGCTCTCCCTCTTCAGAAGCAGAAGCTTGTGACTTGGCACCTGCTTCTGGAAGCCTCCATAGACAGACCTTCTCAGATGATGCTACACCCTTGAGGCAGGAAGGATAGGTCTGGAGGCAAGAGCAGGGCTCTCGAGACCCAAGAGGCCGAGTAGGGTGTCTGTCCTCTTGGGCCTGAGGTTCCCTGCTCGTCAGTGGGAATCTCGGCCTGCACCCAGAGGACTCCTGACATTTGCACTGACCATGCTGCAAGGTGACCTTCTGCATCCTGCAGTGGTGGATGGTGAGGACCATTGGTAACCAAGCAGATGAAGTCCTGGGAGGTACAAATGAGGAAGGTCAGCCCTGTCCTTGGCTGTCCCTTCAGACATCTTCATTGCCGGCCAGTCATGCCTTCTAGCCCAGGGGCTGCACTGGCAGTGATTTGGGGCCTGCATAGGGGAAGGCGGGTGGTGCTGCAGACTGAAGAGGAGCTGCTTTTGCCTGGCCCATCCATCTCTCCAGAGCCAGCCTCCCACCTTCCCACTCCCACTCAGTCAGCCTTATATAGGCAGGGCTGGCAAAAATTACAGGTCAACTGGCGTTTCAGTTCAGTGGGACTCCCTATGGCACAGTCAGAAAGGGCAGAGGCCCTTTCTGGACCGTTTATCTGTCTGAGATTTACTGAGCCCTGCTAGTTTCTTCTCAGTATTCCCACCTCTCCTCTAGAACCCTGACTTTAACTGGGAATAACGGCACCTTTCCAATGGATTAAATTTCCCAGCTTGCCTTGGAGTTCAGTGTAGCCACCTAGTAAGGTCAGGCCAATGAAATGTAAGCTGAGTTATTGTGTGGGACTGCTGGAAAGTTTCCTTAAGGGAGGAATAATACACATGTCTGTGCTTTCTTGTTCTGAATGCAGAATTCAGACGTGATAGCTGGAGCTCAAGCAACCGTCTTTGACCATGGAGTAGACACACCAAGCCTAGTGGAGTAGCTAGGTAGAAGGAGTTTGAGCCTCTGATGATAACAGTGCCACAAAACTTCCCCTACGTTGCACACCTGCAGACATTTTTCATGAGAGGTAGATAAACTTCTACCTTTTAAAACTCTTATTATCATGAGTTCATTTGTTACATGCAGCTAAACTGATACAAGACCCTGCTGTGTGCCAGATACTCTTTCAGGTGATGGTGACACAGCAGTGAGGATGGTGCATGTGGTAACCTGCCCTGTATACTCCCGTTCTAGTGGAGAGAGAACCACATCCAGGAAATAATCAGTGCTGTGAAGTACAGAAAACAAGGCAATATTGAGTGAAACATGATTCTAAGCCTGTCACATGTATTAGCCAAATTAATTTTCATGCCAATTCTATGAGGTAGGGGCTATTAATATTCCCATTGTACAGTGGCCTGTGTAAGGACACACAGCCAGTGAGTGGATGAAGCTGCATGTGAATCCCAGCACTTAGCCTCCAGAGCCGACACTATTTAACAGTGGGTCCTGCTGCCCCCTGAGAGGCTAAAGAGAGAAAGCCACTCAGCTGGCATTGGGCCCTCTTATTCCCATCCAACGGTCTTTATATCAATACTATTTTCAGCACGGTGGTCCTGGGGTGTGAGACTTCTTAAGAACCAGCATCCTTAGAGTACCATCTGGAAGCTGCATGAGCTTTCTGACCTGAGTCACGCTGTCTCTCTTCCATTGCATATTATTGGTTACAGGTGAGTCACAAATACTGGCCCAAATTTAGACCTCTACCTTTCTATATAGGACTGTCATAGAATCTGTGGACATGTTTAAAACCACCACATATATCAGTAAGGCATGCACTCAGTAATGGCCACTCTGGTTGGGGAGGCCCCTGGGGAGAAAGGAGAGCACAGATGTGATGACTGGAACTCAAGCAACCATCTTGGGCCATGAAGACTCCACAGAGAGACAACAGGAGCCAAGAGCACAGCACAGACAATTGGGACAGTGTGCAGTCAGTCTTTCCAGACCTAACCTAACATGGTTAGGTTCTGGAATCTGGGATGCTGAGGAGGCCTCTGTGCTGCCCCAGGCATCAATTCCAGTGATCAGTGCTGGCTGAATTCCCCTCATTCTCCTGAGGGCCCTGTGAACTGCCAACCATTGCACCACCTGACTTGGGAATAACAGGGGCTGTGTCCAATTTAGATGTGCCCAGGTGCAGGGGAGTGTGTACCAGGGCAGGGCCAGATAAGCAAGACCATTTATAGATGAGCTGGTGGGAGCATCAATGGACTGTTTTGAATCATTGACATCTTGGAAGTGGTGGTTTTGAAATCAAACTGTCTTTGCAGGAATCAGCCTCAAATCCAGGACAACCTTCCAAGATAAGTAGTCCCTGGAGAGTCCCCAAAGCTGTGGAATT